AGTTGTATTCAATGTTTCAGTGAAGCTAGAAATGTTTTATATGCAATGGCAAAAACACTGTATTGCCTTTGTTTGGAACATTTTCTCTGAAAGAAAATGGATAAAAGTTTAATTTTGTGTTTCACACAGAATGTAGACAAAAGTGTTTTGTGTTCTTATATGGTCTTAGTATATGTATTTGCTTTTCCTGTCAACTTTTTTTTTATTTTTTTCTTGCTTTTAAATTTTCTTTTTATCTTTTGTGTGGTAGCTTAACATATGGAATTGTGAACTAATTGCCAATGATATAGATGCATTTATTATTTTAATTTTAAAGATTTACCTTTAAGTTGCTCAAGTGAAAACTGTGATACTGAAACAAATCTTTCTTAATATTGTATATGGACTGTTTGTTAAATCATAATACTGGATACCAGTATCATTATGATTTCAATTATTGACATGACCAAGGCAATAACATGTGTTAAGTTTAAAATGAATATGTAAAGAAATGTAGCTATATACTACTAGAAAAGGATGATTGCGAACATTTATCTTTAGTAACAGTGACCTTGTTATATTATATTATGAGTTGTACTGACTGGATTAAAGCCATGGTATTAAAATTTAACCAGAGTGTGTCAATTAGGAAATGGCATCAAAGTAAACCTGTATACATTGTGTGAATCATTATCATATTGAGGAGGATGTTATTAATGATGATTCATGATGATGTTGTTTGAGGAATAAATAATTTAAGCTCATGTTATTGGCTTTTGACATTTTTTGTTTTGTAAAGCATATGACCTGTGCTGTTATTCTTAAAAACAAAAGGGTTTTCAACCACAAGAATGCTCAGCTAAATTAATTATAGGTGTTGCCAGCTTGAGAGAATTAATTGGCAGACTATAGTTTCAATGACTAAGTGATTCTTCATTTGGACTTAATTGTTCCCGATAAAGACTCTCTAGGCTAAATTTGTTGACCAAGCAAAGCCACTGAAGATGGTGACAACCGTGTTGTGAATGGAATTCCTCTACTTATATTCACGTATTCAATAATAATGATCCTGTTAACCCTTCAGCATTCATACTATGAGACCCACCTATACCGCTCATAAAATGTTTGCTCTATATTTATTTTGTTTTCTGAATTATAAAATGAGCAATTCAAATTTTGAACCTTCTAGTTCAAACAAGGAAATAACTTGCTTTTCTAGTGTGTCCTGGGAGATTTAAGTGTGTCCTGTAATGTTACAAAGGGAAAACATCATACTTCTATGTTACCTGGAAATGATTACTTTAGGGAGACTATATAGTGTGGCCATGTACTGTATAATTATACAATATATGTAGGAGTATTTCTCTATACCTTGATTTTTGGTAATCGCCTGAAGGAACAAGTGCTGCGCTATACTTTTCAGTAAATGTTTAGGTTTTTATCAATGACGCAGTATAATGGTTGTGCCACTCTTTCTCAGAACAATCCGGTGTCACCGGAATGTATTGTACAATTATTTGGATTATTTCCCCTTACCCCGAGCTCTTGTGGTCTGCAGGGCACCTACCCACCTATCTCTGCACATAGACCGCTCACTGATAAAGTTGAGAAAACTGTAAAGGATGAGGTTATCAGGTCCCTCTGGTGGTTTCCTGAGGCATGGTAGGAACGTTTCATGTTGAATTCTTGAACCTGTTACCCTGATCTCCATAAGGGAAGTACCGGCCACTTCCTCTGCTGAACTTTTTGTTCAGAATTCTTTAACCTTCCTATTAGCCCTCGTTCTAGCCCTGTCCATTTTCCACTCATCCTCCGAATCTGATGCTATTGGCAATGCTTTCAAGCCACACTCGGATGTATCCGCTAATATGATCAGTTTTTGTCTGTACTCAATAAGACCAATACCTTCGACTATCTGTTTTTTTTTATCAATTTTTGTCTGTACTCAATAAGACCAATACCTTCGACTATCTTGTTTTTTTATCAGTTTTCTATCTGTACTCAATAAGACCAACACCTTCGACTATCTTGGTTTTTTCATCAGTTTTTGTCTGTACTCAATAAGACCAATACCTTCGACTATCTTTGGTTTTTTTATCAGTTTTTGTCTGCACTCAATAAGACCAATACCTTCGACTATCTTGGTTTTTTTATCAGTTTTTGTCTGTAATCAATTAGACCAATACCTTCCACTATCTTATTTTTAGCAGCGTGTCACTGTGGCTCTGACAACGACAGATGTTCTGCCTCCAAAGGTTTGACCCGTACTTTAACATTAAACTTGAACCGGTCCTCACAGCTTTTCCTAGCAAACTTGTAAGTTTCCACACACAACAAGTCTTGCTGCATCTTAGAAAACAAAGCTTCTGAAGAATCGTTAATTTTTGTTTTCGAAAGTATCCAACTTGTTGGAAATAAGAGCGTCCATTCTGGAAACTATATCGTCCATAGAAACATCCACAGCTGCTTTTACCTGTGTGGCTATATACTCCTCTGTAGATAAAGGGTTCATGACTAAGAAAATAGGGTTCATGACTAAGAAACAATACCGCTAAAAAATAAAATGAACTGTGCAGTACGGCAACGGCGCCTAGGAATGACACGCACACTTGTGAACCCGATACCTGTCAACCATTGTGACGTCACAGCACGTGCAACGCTTGCTACTCGGTGCCGAATGAGACAAATTATTCCTGCTTTACTCTCGAACCGTGGAAATATTGAAATTGACTGATGTAGTAAAGGATGAGGTTATCAGGTACACGTGTGGGATACAGTAGGATGTTACGGGATCAGACGAATATTTCATTCACAGATCTAGAGTGTACCAGTTTTTCATGTACATGGTCAAACTTTAAATTAAGGTACATATTTTGAGAGCTTATTATATACTGACCAGTAAAACAGGGGACCCAATACCTTTTCAGTCCGATCCTGGGAATTGGCATTCAAAATGCCGAAATATTTCCTTTGGGTTACATTTTTTTTCGAAACTACTGGAAAAAGTGTGACACCAGCAAAGATGGTGGAGGACTGGAAGAACGAAGTTCTGAAACCCAAAACAAGTCAAACCAAAATCCATTATGACTTTTCAAACCTACTGGACGACACTGGTCTAACCTAAGTTGTCGAAGAACTGACCCGAAATGACAATATCTTGGATTTGGTCATAACAAATTATCCAAACCAAGTGGCCCGTACTGAAAAAATTCCAGGCCTATCTGACAATAACATCGTTTTCATGGAAAACCTAACACCCATAAAAAATCAAGAAAAATCCCTCTTTATAAAAATGCTGAGTGGAATACCATAAATTCTCGTCGGGGCAATGTGTATAACTATATGTTAACAAACAACGAGTGGGACGCAAATTTAAAGTGGGGATATTATAAAAACTGAACTCACAAAACTTGTCAAAGGACACATCCCTCAGAAAACTATAAAACCAAAAACTAGCCTACCATGGGTTACCCCCGAAATAAAAAAAGCTCATAAGAAAACGTGATAGGGTTTACATAAAATCTAAAAAATCTGCGGATTCTTCATTTAAATCAATGAATTGTTATAGAACATGTATTACCAACTGTATATACATGAAAATTCACACACATGACCGAGTATGACACATACACACTATCCGTGTGTCATTGACAGTTTTTCCCGTGCAGTTTGATCTCTATAGGCGTTGACCAGTTTGCAAGTTTTTATCGTGCAGCCATCCAATTCGACTATGAAAGTTTATTTTTCAACTGTTGCCCCACTCTGTCGAGACCAGTGAACAGTAAAATCAGCATTATAACGTTTTAATTTGTGATTAATGCTATGGCGAGGCTCAATGAAAATGACCGCCTCCGGATTATTGGTATGCTTCAAGCTGGTATGGACCAAGCCGTTGTCTCTACACGTTTTCATGTCCATCGAAACACAATCCGGGATTTGTGGAGACGACATCATCAGTTTGGCCACGTCGGCGATCGACCTCGTGCGGGACGTCCACGTGTGACGTCACGTCAACAGGACAACCATATTCGGCTTGTCCATTTGAGAAATCGCTTCCAAACGGCAAGTTTGACTGCACGGACAAACCCTGGTTTGCTACCAATAAGCCCGAGAACTGTACGGAACCGATTGCGTGAACGAGCTATCCGTTCGCGACGTCCTGCAATCCGCCCAGTTCTTCTGCCACGTCATCGTGTAGCACGTCTGGACTGGTGCAGAAGGCATCTGCGATTTACTCGACGGGATTTGGCAGGCATTTTGTTTACGGACGAGTCGCGAGTCCACCTGGATAGTAGTGGCGGCCGTTCCAGAGGATATCGTCGCGTTGGAGAACGTTTCCTTGACGCGTGTGTGGTACAACGACGTTCTTTCGGCGGAGGCAGTGTTATGATTTGGGGCGGCATCACAGCCAACGGGAGAACGCCTCTGGTGGTTGTTAACGGGAATTTGAACGCGCTACGTTACCGTAACGAGATCCTCCGGATCCACATCGTTCTATTCGTGCAATGGCAGCAACGTCACATTACGCTACAGCAGGACAACGCCAGGCCAAACACAGCTCGTGTCGCTATGGACTTTATGGCCCAGTAGAACGTTGACGTGTTGACGTGTTGCCCTGGCCTGCCCATTGAACACGTCTGGGATGAAATGAAGCGCAGATTACGGGCATTACCTAATCAACTGGTGACGTTGGCTGATTTGCCTGCAGCGTTGGTACAAATCTGGAATGCCATCCCACAAGCATTCTTGAACCGTCTGATAGGCTCCATACGTCGACGTTGCCAGGCTAGCATTCAGGCAAACGGTGGACATACGAGGTATTAACTTTATGAACTCAGTATTGACCCCTGCTGTGTTTACGTCACTCGTGAGCGGAACTTATTGATTCCATAACGTGGAAAATGGAATGCAACTGTTAATAAATAACAAATAAATTGTCACTGAAATCCTTGTTGTTCTACGTCATACACATTTATTTGTATAACACATTTTAGGCATGCACAGTTTCTTTTTTCCGCTAGTATATATCCAGAAGCCTTGACGAAGGAAGCCAAATTGATATTTTCATCACGGACTTCGCCAAGGCTTTCGATAAAGTCAGCCATTCCCTGCTCATCCACAAACTGAAGTACTATGGTGTAAAAGGAAATGTAGTAAACTGGATTGAGAATTTCCTTCTTGGCAGTAAGTAATCTGTAGTCGTGGAGGGGGGAAATGTCTGACTTCGTCAACGTCCATTCTTGTGTGCCTCAGGGATCGGTCCTCGGACCAAGTTTATTTCTTTATTGCTTTATTTCATTAACGCCATCCCTGTGGGCCTAAACGCTACCATCCGCTTGTTCGTAGACGACACTATCGCTTATCTATTTGTCAAGTCTAACAGTGATGCTGAAGCTCTACAGCAAGACTTGGACAAACTGGCGATCTGGGAAAAGACATGGAAGATGGCCTTCCGCCCGATCAAGTGTAATGTGTTGTCTGTGAACAAGGGGGAAAGCCCCAGTATCCATTATTACATCCTCCAATGGCATACGCTAAACACGTAGACCAAGCAAAATACCGGGTGTTACAATCAAATCTAACTTAAAATGGGACTCCAACATAAATAATATTACCAACAAAGCAAATTCCACACTTTGACTTCCTCCGTCGAAACTTAAAAATAGATTCAACATCAGTTAAGGCACAGGTATTCAAATCATTAGTCTGCTCATCCCTAGTGTATGCCTGTCCTGTTTGGGACCCATACACACAGGTTAACATCAATAAGATTGAAATGGTACAACGCAGGGCTGCTCGTTACGTACTAAACAAAAAAAGTCTACACTCATAGAATATCCAGTGTCTCCAATATGTTGAACCATCTTAAATGGCGATCCTTTGCCGACAGACGCAGAGACACAAGCCATTGTATGATGTTCAAAATTAATAAACACATATCTTTCCACGATCAATATCTGAGTGGAATAAGATCCCACCAGATATCATATCCTCCTGTTCTACTACTGAATCTTTTCAATCTGCTCTCCTGTCACTGTACCCTCAAAATTAAATCTATATACATCTACATGTAAATGGTAAATGATAATGATATATACATCTACATGTATATATCATTTTGGCTTTCTCGGAATCGACTAAATCTCTTTCTCCCTTATCACATTATCTTCAACTTGTTGAAGTTGGTCATTACCATTTAGAAGAGGAAATAAACGTCGCTTCGAAACATACTCCATCTATTCATAATCTATTCATAATTGTGTAGCATCATGGAATATGTTTGAACGGCACTGTGTTGCATTCCTTCATAAATGTTAAAAATATGTGGTATCAGTTACTCCATATGAGTACTCCAGACGTTTATAAAGTATGCTATGGTCGATGACGTCAAATGCAGATGATACGCACCGCTCTGCACTTGGTATCCAATGCAGAAGCTATGTCAATATGTACACGTAGGAGGGCCGTCTCCGACCAGTAGATTGTCCCATGCGGTAGGCCGATTGCATGTTGTCATGGAGACTGTTTGCATGGAGATGAACCTCTAAACGCCGGGACACAACCTTCTCCAAGATCTTAAACAGAAAAGGCAGATTTGATACTGGACGGTAGTTCTTCAACTCCTTCTTATCCATTCCAGGCTTCTTCAACAATGGTCTATCATGTGGCTTCTTGAAACACAATGGAACCTTTGACTCAGCCAATGATTTGTTCATGATTGAGGTATCAAAAGAAGCAGTGCTTCAAGACATTGCTGTAGGCAGTGTATCAAGCTCACAGGACTTCGATTGCGAGGTCATGATGATATTATGCAACTCGTCCTGGGTTGTTGGTGATAGCTTTGTCAATGGTTCCCAATCAAATTCAATGCCAGCAGTCATGACAGAGATATCGGCTTCGACTTCGGCAATATTTTCCCTGATCAAGCTGATTTTATTCAGAAAGTAATCACTCAACTGCTTCGACCAGTCTTCTTCAGAATTACAGCTTGGAAGGATAATTTCACCTTTCTGGCCCATTAGGTTTTTGGTGAGTCTAAAAAGCTGTCTATGATCCTTACCACATTCTTCGATTCTTTCCGAATAATAAGCCTTCTTTGACTGAATGAGAAGTGAACCAACAGGTCGACATTGTTCCCTATAAATCTGTTGGTGAACGATTAATTTGGTCCGTCGCCACCGTCTCTCTGCTTGTCTATGGCTCTGTTCGGTATCACCTTAGTCTGCAGAGGTGCTTCTAAATAAGAGCTTCTATACCAGATGTGTATGCTTCAACAAGATCATCAACCCCACCTTCAGTAGATTGAAGGGGGGAAGAAGACTGAATGTCATTGTTGAAATCTGGTATTAAAATTTCCGGAAGCTCACTTCTTTCCTTGCACAATCTGGCTTACTACAATTCAGTGTTGCGTGGACAGCAAGATGTTCACCAGATTGGTTCCCCTTTACATCACTTAGACATGGATCAATCACTGAAATTGCTCAATGAATGACTGAGTTATCTTCCCTTGTTATGACCATATCCAGTGTGTGGCCATGTGTGTGTGTGTGTAGCTTCTGTCAGATGATAAATCAAACCCCTGGAATCTAGTAGCCAAGAGAATTGGTGAGTATCAACATTAGTTAATCGTCTAAGTGGAAATTTAGGTCACTCGTGATAATGATCTCTTGTGACACAACAACTTGGTGGTCTAAAAAGGTAGACCACTCACAAAAAAACACTGTATTTCGGAAAGCATTCTGTTTTGATGGAGTATGTCTGTAAATGATACACAATCTAAATTGTTTATCACCAGCAATGACAGAACAAGTTATGAGCTCAAAGTGTATCATCATGCACTTAGGCCTTTCTTAAACAGAACAGCCACCCCACCACCACGTTTACCGAGTCTAGTAATGTGGAGGAATCCATAGCCTGTTGGTATTAGCTCAGCTAGTACCTGGTCATCGATATCTGAACCTACCCAGGTTTCTGTCAATGCAAGAATGTCAATATCCTGAGATGTTACAAAATCCCCAATGGACAATAACTTATTCTTCACTGAGCGACAGATTAGGACACTTAATTCAGAGGAATAACTTAGTGACCAGCTGTTGTTGGCTTGATGACATGTAAATTCTCGTACGATACTGATCATGTCGGAATCCGTGTGGAAGTATCGTAATGAGAATGCACAATAGTGTTGATGCCCGATACTGCTGTAAGTGCACTGTGGCCCTGCAAGAAAGTGTGCGAGGCGGACAGACCATTTGTAATGACCAAATGGATGAGATTATCAGTGTTCAGGCCCGAGTAGGTACAACCACTAGTTTCTTTTGATTTAACACCGATAAAACTTGGTATTCGCCTAACAGCACCCTTTCCTGCCAATTAACACCAAATAATTCATTATGATACATTCAGATTATCTATTAAGAGGTTTTTTTTATCAGTTTATATCGTAAAAGTGATGAAGTTATTAACATTTGGTTATCATAATACCATTTTCAATGTTTCATAAGTTATGACATATAGTAGAGAACTCACTCTGTCGTGTGGCAAACGAAACAAGTGAACATTATTTAATACTTTGTCGAAATTATCAACGTACGAGACAAGCAAGTTGTTTTTGTAATTTTCTTTTTATTCAAGATTTTTTCGCAATATATGGTATAATTACAATCAAACATTTCATATTATATATTCATACCTCACACGACTCGTATATACTCTTACTTACATCAGTTGATATACTTGACGCCAGTACATTTAATTGTACACATGAACACATATATTGCCTTTATCAGAACCGAGAGAGAGTAAAGAAAAGAAGAAAAACATAAATAAAATAGCAAAGAAAAAAGGAGAAAGTCCACAGAAAAGGGAAAAAAAAAGAGAATCTGGTTTTTGCACTGCAGCTCAAGAATAAACAGAAGTTTGTGTTTAGGATAAAATTATAAGACAATCTTCTGTATTAGTTGTAAGTAAGGTGCTTTCGACTTTAAACTGCATGTAAATAAAGCCATATAAATTGGGATAATTATACCAAGTACCCTAAAAAGAGATATGAGTGTAATATTCAGGACAAAATATATTAATATCATAATAGAGATAAACTATAATAAGTTCATACAGATACTTCAACTGAAATTCACAAAAAATGGATAAAAATGTTGGGAGTTCAGGCAAGATTCAATACCGGTATGGTAAAAGGGGCATAACTGCCAAAAAAGAGTACAGAACAAGAGAAAAATCCCTGTGCAAACTTAGTGTGTGCTGGCTTTTCAAAATATAAAAAGAGAACCGTGGGAGGAGTTGGATTGGATCTACTGACTTGACGATATTAAATAATTTAATTTTTGGCTTATAATTCCAGGAGGTTGTTCCATTTTTTCCATTCTCTTTCTAGTTTTCTTACAAAATTATCCCCCTTGCAACATGCTATATCTTTTTGTACAGAATGATGGTCTTTTATGCTGTTAATTAAAGCATTTACTGACAAAGTGTTTCTTGTTTTATAAATATAGTGTTTGATCATAATTAAAATTTCATTTTCTAGTCTGCTGCTTATTCCTGACTCTGACACTATTCCGAAAAGGAAGGATTCCTTATTATCAAATCATTAAAAATAGTAATTTCACATCTATACCATTCAGGATAAAATACACAGTTCTGATATATTGTTGAACTTTTATTATACCATAAAGGCAATTTTAAAAACAATTGTTCCTTTTCCCTTAAAAGATCTTCTTTGTAAGAAAGTCTACTCCACGCTTTAAATACATCTTTCCAGAACAAATTTGTACTTGTGTTTTGGCATCTAGATATACATTTATTATCACAGTTAAAGAGAAGATCAATATCGATAGATGTTTTTAATAGCTCCTGCCATTTGCCTTGTTTTTGGAAGCCTCCTTATCCAGCTTAATTTTAAAGAATCTAAGACCTCTATCTCTATGAGTTTGAACAACAACATCTCTCTTTATTTTATCAACCTTACCATTCCAAAGAAATTCATAAAGGATACAATTGAGCATATGAAGAAAAAATTTCACTGGGATTTGGTAAAGAAATAAACAAATGATTAAATTGGGATACCATTAATGACTTTATGACATGTATTTTACCAATAGATGTAATAGATCTTGTTTTCCATTAATTAATAATAGATTTAAGCTTAACAAGTTTTTTTTGTTTTTTTATCAAAGTTTAGTTTGGGTTACCTATGTAGGTCGACATGAAATTCTACTCCAAGAAGCTTAAACTGTTCTGGGATCCCACTGAAGATTTACTTCCGGTAATAAAATATCATAACTGTATCTCTTACTCCCTATCCATACTAGCTACTTGTGTTTTGTTCAGGTTAATTTTTAGACCGGATATTCTAGCAAAAGTGTTCCATTCCTTTATAGACTCTGTAAGCGACTCCTCTGATCCATCTATAGCTAGTATAAGTGAACTGTCATCTGCATATTGTGAAAATATAATTGGAAAATTGTTAATATTTATACCTTTGACTTTCCTGTTATTTCTCAGCTGAATTGCTAGTATTTCAGCGCAAAGAATA